TGCTATTAAATTAAACAATTGCAAATAGCAGCTAACTTAATTCCTGTGATGTGTGTACTGCTAGGCATCTGTGGTTTCCTCTTTTTGTGTAATTTGGATGGAAAATGTGTGCCTTTTTATTGTTTGAGTAACTTATCAAAAGTTGCTAAAAGTAGCCAAATAAAATTTAAAAATAGCTTAATTTGTTGCTAGGTGCTTTTGGAAGAAAAAGTCGCTAGGGTAGTCTGAAAAGTTGCTAAATTTAGCAACAAAATTGCTAAGTTGGCAACACTGACTTTTACACATCCAACCCCGCCCCCCTGGACCTTTGTTCTGCAGTGAGGGGCTACTGGATAACTGCGGTGCATTTTTTGTGCATAATTTAAATAAAAGTTACGTGAAACTAAATAATTCCTTACACTGTCTCACACACGTGCGTTAAAAACTGAATAACCAACCGTACGTTACCTTCTAGCGAACGCGCCGAACTGCTGCTGCCAAAGTATTGCGTATGCATATTGCGCAATATATATAAAAAAAACAGCATGGGTTCCACACATTATATAGACTGTATAAAAACAGGTTCCACAGCACAAAAGCTCAAGAGCTCGTGAATGACACCTGGTGGCTAGAAATTGATAGCTAACGTCTGTGGCTATGAGAGCGCGCCTCGGGCAAGATCGAAGTTCACAGCGTTGCTCTGCTGCGCGCTCCCGCGCTGGAGATCTCCGTGCAGTCTCCGCCTGTCCACGCCGAACGCGCTTTGTTTCTTGCGACAAACGCCATAAAATGGAACAGATATATAGGTAAGATCTTAAAATACAACTATAATTGCTGATGATGTTTTAATTGACCAATGATATACTTAAGGGAACTTGTGATCATGTATAAAAAAAATGATTGGTGTTGCATTAAAATGAGATGAGTCAAAAGTACAGCGTCTTTTCAAACAGTGACAGAAGATTCATATAAACAGGCTGGCTGTATTCTTTTGCTTGCAATTAATGAAATTAAAATTAAACCAAACTTTTTGTTCGGTCTTTAAGACTCCACGGATTTATTTAGAATAACGCTTTCTTTGTTTCCATGTAGCTGCTGTATTACACTGTGAATATAACCCGAAAGTCTTTATTCGTGTGTTGCTGCATCCATTAGGCTATGCTAGAAACACCAAATCCTTTAGACTTTCTGGAGTAAAAATGAAGGATAGTAAATGTGTTTAGGCCAATAACTGTGAATTACAGTTCACACAATTCTGTGTCTTCTTGGTAATGCTTTAGTAACACTTTACCTTTAACAATTTAACTTTAATAAGAAGCTGTTAACATAACAGTTATTATATAATGCCAAACAGATCACGTTGGGGTCAAATATTCTGAGATCACAAAATGCTTCTATTTCGCCTGCTTTTCTAATTTGGTGCAAGTTTAATTAGAAATTATATTAGCAAAACATTTGAGTGTTAACCTTATCATCACCCATAATTTGAGAAAAAATATATAACTCAATAAAAATATAATTATTTTTTAAAAATATATTTAATTAATTAAATTGTTTGTGCAAAGAATTCACATGATCCGTGTCATTCACTTACTTATTAGTGACCTAAAAATCTGAATTATTTCTTTTTTATAACATACAATTTTAAAATCCTAAAACGTTTTGTTAACCACAGGATTACGTAAAAACCTGGAGTATGGTCTCATATTTCTGCACCCCACTTTATATCAGTATAAATATATAGATTTCTGGATAAATATTATTACTGAAAGTTATCATAAAGTTTTACCAGTCACCCTTTTATAAACTACCATAACATCCCTAACTTTCTATAATGAAACAGCAGATTGTATATTGGCTTAAAAACACAGCCAAACTCATAAATTTATGTATAAACTTATATAAACTATATGTGTGTGTGTGTGTGTGTGTGTGACCCTGGACCACAAAACCAGTCATAAGGGTCAATTTCTCGAAATTGAGATGTATACATCATCTGAAATCTGAATAAACAAACTTTCCATTGATGTATGGTTTGTTAGGATAGGACAATATTTGGCCGAGATACAACTATTTGAAAATCTGGAATCTGAGGGTGCAAAAATCAAAATATTGAGAAAATCACCTTTAAAGTTGTCCAAATGAAGTCTTTAGCAAAACCAGTCATAAGGGTCGATTTTTTGAAATTGAGATTTATACACGATCTGAAAGCTGAATAAATAAGCTTCCATTGATGTATGGTTTGTTGAGATACAACTATTTGAAAATCTGGAATCTGAGGGTGCAAAAAAAATCTAAATATTGAGAAAATCATCTTTAAAGTTGTCCAAATGAAGTTCTTAGCAATGCATATTACTAATCAAAAATTAAGTTTTGACACATTTACGGTAGAAAATTTACAAAATATCTTCATGGAACATGATCTTTACTTAATATCCTAATGATTTTTGGCATAAAAGAAAAATCGATAATTTTGACCCATACAGTGTTTTTTGGGCTATTGCTTAAGGTTAAGGCTTAAACTTAAGGTTTTGTGGTCCAGGGTCACATATATATATATATATCACTAGATATATATGGTTTTTACTAAAATGGCAAGGCAACCACACTATACACATAGCATTGATTGATTGATTGATTGATTATCAATGACTTGTGGTGTGTTATGCAACTGAGTTTTTTTATGTCACTTTAGGCTCACTTTTCTGTGCCGTTTTTGACTGGTGGTGAAAGGTTTCATTTTACATAATTAGATGTTTTTATATTTAATCTTATTGCCTGGACTGTGGCTATCAAACTAAAGTCTGTGCATCTATAACTAAAGACCAGCTTACTTATCAAGCCAATGTGTAAAAATTGTGATAACATAACTGCTTTAGTGTCCCCAAAATACATTGTGTTTGTCAAATCCGTAAAGGTTAATCCAGTGTCTCTGAATGCCAGGATGAATTTGAATTGGCGCATATGGGGAGTGCACAGTATGATACGGCCAGGGGAGTTCAAATTAATCCAATTAGGGAATTACAGCATTCCAAAACGCAATTTCACATAATCACCTCATCGAAATATTACTTCTCATATGTTGTAACAGCTGTGCATGTTCAATAAACATTAAATCACTAAACAGACAAAATATTGTTGGGTTTATATATTAAAAAAAAATTTATTGACGGCATTGTTAACATTAAATGAAAGACTGTGGTGGAAATGAAATGATATAGACCTATATAACTTCATGATACTCAAGGCTTTTCGTGCTCAAATCGAAATATTCAGTCCTCTGGTTTTTATTAAAAGGGCAAAGCAAACACACCATACATATACAGTACAGCAATAATGACTGTGATACATAGCAAACACATGGTGTCACATATACTGTGAGCAGGTTAATGATTGACTGATCAAAGGTCTGATGGGTGTGACCCTTACAAACACACAATTACATACACAGGTACAGAAAACACTCCTACATTCATTTTTGTCATTTTTATACTCATAAAAAAATGGCTCTTAGACCGCTGTCAGAGAGGCCCTGGAAAGAAAGAATGAGAGGACAAGAAGCTTTACATATTCATTTGAAAATAGTCTAAATAAGAGTCGAATGATCAAGATAAGCGTATAAATCAAGCTGTTATCTCTGTATTTAGTGAAGCATAAGGAGAGTAAACAGGAGGAAATGTTTTCAACAAGACATTATTTTCTCAACACGTCACAATAATACTGAAGTCTAATACTTCTTTTCTATTTTGGGCAACACAAAGGTAAAACTAAGCTTTTATTAACTATTACAATGCTTAAATTGCTCTGGTGGAACTAGTCATAATAAAAATACAAGTGATAGAAAATAGTGTTTCATATAAATATATTAATAATAAGATAGATAGATAGATAGATGGATAGGTTAGACTATTTAGAAGGGTTATTGATATTGATATAAAATGGAAGTCTTATCTTTATTTCTTCAGAATCGTCTAGCTTTTGCAAACTCCAGCCAAACAACTTTTTGACAATCCTCCTCGTTCTTCTTCATCTGTAACCATGGAGACGGTGGTGATCGTGGCCATAGGTGTACTCGCCACCATCTTCTTGGCATCAATTGTGGCGCTGGTGGTTGTGTGTCGTCATCGTTACTGCCACCCTCCGGACTTTCTGCATCAGTTTGATTCCAAGTATGTACTTGAGTATACACTAGAGAATAAGTCATAACCTCATTCCCACACTGAGGATTAAGAAGGGATCACCATTCCAACACTTCATTCCTAGCCATTGAAATAATTATTTTTTTTAATCACTTTCTCTACCTCTTGTTTATCCTCATATTTCAGGCCTACAGTTGATCTGATCGGCGCGATGGAGACTCAGAGTGAACCATCAGAGCTGGAGCTGGATGATGTTGTCATCACTAATCCTCATATTGAGGCCATGCTGGAGAACGAAGACTGGATCGAAGATGCCTCGTATGCCTTCTCTCCATGTTCATTCTCACAACCATAACCATTTTTAGTAATAATAATATTCTGGTTTTGATACTTTACTGATATCACTTTCTCTTTCCCTCAGTGGTCTTGTGTCTCATTGCATTGCGATTCTGAAGGTAGATTTTTGTGCACAAATTTAGCATTTTTCCTAACCAAATATAATATAATATAATATGGGTCAGTAAGATTTTTTAAGGTTTTAATGTTATGCTCAACAAGGCTGCACTTATTTGATCAAAAATACAGTAAGAACAATGATATTGTGAAATACACTGCCTGGCCAAAAAAAGTCGCTTGGATTTAAATAAGCAAGCTCTTAAAATTTTAGGATTTCGTCATTTTTGCAGTGATTAATATGTTTCTGGCATGTTGTATATTTGGCAACAAATCTTTTAACCCAAACCGATGCAGAGCGTAACTTTTTATTTCTCAAACAAACATGTTGGAAGACGTTCCCATGTTCCAGGATGACAGTACCAAGTTTATTGGGCTCAAATTGTGAAAGAGTGATTCAGGGAGCATGAGAAACCTTGAACTGGTCATAATAGAGTCCTGATCTTAACCCTATTGAAAATCTTTAGGATATTCTGGAGTTGACTTTACAGAGTGGTACATCTCTCCCATTGTCAATACAAGATCTCGGGCCAAAAATTAATGCAATTCTTGATGGAAATAAATGTTGTGATGTTAAATAATAGTTTTGAAACAATGCCACAATGAGTGCACAATGTAATCAAAGCTAAAGACAGTCCAATTAAATATTAGAGTGTGCAGTGTGTTTGTTTTTTTTTTTTTTTTGGACAGGCAGTGTATTATTACATTTTTAAATAACTCTTTTTCCTTCAGAAATCATTCTATCACTTTAATATATATATATATATATAAAAGTATTAATTTCATTAAAAAAAAAATCTTTCTGACCCCCAAACTTTTGAACAGTCATGTGTGTATAATAATACACGGCATTTTTGCTTTGGTTTAAAGAAATCATTGTCCTGGTTCTGTACAGATATGCCACACTCTCACGGAAAAGCTAGTTGCCATGACAATGGGCTCTGGAGCAAAGGTCAAAGCACCTGCCAGCTTGAATGACATCATCACCGTGGCCAAACGCATCAGTCCAAGGTAACAGTTTGAGCAGTTGAAATGACACATCTGAGAGTGTGGGTAATGACCATGAGCTGCTTTGTGCCATCACAGGGTGGACGACGTGGTTCGATCTATGTACCCTCCACTGGACCCCATTCTTCTGGATGCCAGGTAACTTCTTATGCTGGCAGGGACTATTGTAAGTTTACATTTCTGCAAAGAATTGACTTTACCAACTTATTTTTTGGACCAGGGCCACAGCATTACTACTGTCGGTCAGTCACTTGGTACTGGTGACACGAAACGCCTGTCACATGTCTGGCAGCCTGGACTGGATCGACCAATCACTGCATGCGGCCGAGGATCACATGGTCGTGTTGAGAGAGGCGGCTTTAGCATCTGAACCAGAGAGAGGTTTGCCAGAGAGAGAGCAGTCAATCTGAGTCACTCACAAGACTGCACTGTAAAAAATTATTGTGATTTTAACAGTAAAAGACTAAAATCTAATGTTGTTAAATTAATGTTTATTGCATTGCATTCAGTATCGTGTGTGTCACCATGATGGGGTTTAGTGTTTGTGTGAATGAGACTGTGCACCTTCTATATATAAGTATTGCCCTCCTCAGCTCGTAGAAAAGCTGTTTGTGATGAGCTTTGGTTCATCATGTGACTTTCTCATCACCACCAGTTTTTGGTGGTTATCAGTTCATTACAATGGTTCAAAACAGATATTAACACTTCAATATGTTGGTTTATTAACATTACATCAGTTAATGAAATACGGTATTTTATTGTGAATTTAAGTTAAGTCTGTAAAACCTAAAATGTTGCTACCATATTTTTTACGGTGAAGTTCTGGCAACCACAGCTGCCGGTATTTTACCGTAAATGTCACAGTTTTTTTTTACAGTGTGTGGCAGACATATAGAGTACACACATTATTCAAGAACGTGCATGAATGCACCTGTAAAGAATACGACAGTTTAGTGGACAATACCTCAGCACATCCATGATATGAAAGGCATCTTAGCTTAGCCTTGCTTTCAATCTTTCACTGTATCTAATTTTTATCTCTGTTACATTCCAGTTTATTTGGTGGTCATGCTGTCTAATATTTCCTCACGCTGGATTTATATGTAGATGCTAGAGCCAAAAAGTGTCTGAGACAATAAAAAACATGAATGTATAAACCAATTCCCAAAAATGCTAATTGTTATCACTAAGTTTGTTAGCTAAACCATATATAAACAAAACAAGGTCTGTCTTTTTTTTGTTGTTTCTCATATTTGAGTCTACATATAGTAATGTTTTAATACAATACATACAATGTTTTCATACATTATTTACATATTTTCATTATTAGCATCAAGTTCTATCAAATTTTAAGATCTTTTGGCTTTTATTTAGCTTTAAAAATACACAAAAAATTAAGCAGCAGAAATAATGGTTCATTTTCTTTTTTTCCAGTTCAGTCTCCTTCGCATATCAGTTTATAAATAGTCAATTCACAAATTGACAAGTCACAATTGTACACTTTCATATTAGTATTTTTTTCTCTCATGATGTGTACACTTAAATGTTTGGGGTCAGTATTTTTTTTTTTTTTAAGTATTTTAAAAGAAGTCTCATGCTCACCAAAGCTGCATTTATTTGATCAAAAATACTGTAAAAAACAGTATGTGAAATATTACAATTTATTTGGCGATTTAAAATAATTTAAAATGCCATTTTTTAGGTTCTTTGATGAATAAAGAGTTCAAGGACAGTATTTATTTGAAATAGAAATCTTTTGTAAATGTTTTTACTGTCACTTTTGATCCATTTAATGCATCCTTGCTAAATAAACATTCATTTCTTAAAAAACACCCAAACTTTTGAACAGTTAACTAGCTGGTTGTGAACAGTTATGCAGCAAGTAACTCACATATTTTGTCCATCTGCTATCTAGACGTGGCCTGTATTTTTTCCCCAGAGTCACATGAAATCTAAATCCACACTAATTCCCTCCTTCAACCCCCCACTACACTTCACACTTTCAGCAGCCACACACACACACATTCAGAACTCTGTAATTTCATGTATTAAATTCAGTTATCAATCATATGTTATTCAGTTTCAATAAGAATATATTGCAGCATTCAGTTGTTGATTATGAGTATTTCCTCTTTTCATTTCAATCTTGTTACTGACATTTCTTGTTTGTTCCTCTATTTGTTCTTTGACTCTCGTACTGTTTATGTATTTGAGCTTTGTAATGGTGAATAAAAGTTTCACAATGAAAAGACATCATGATATTTTTATTTTAAAATAAACATTACAAAATTCAACTATAAGTTCAGTAAAACAATTAGACCTCTATTCACATGTGCGGCTTTGTGGAGAGAGGAGAGAGAGAGGAGGCAGACAGAGAGAGATAAAGAAAGAAGGAGGAGAAAAAGCTGCAATGGAGGATGGGGAGGAAGAAAAGAAAAACATGACAGCTATTTCTCAAAGTCAGAGTAAACAGTTCTGTCTAGCTTTGAGTAGAAAGCTTTTGGCCAAAATGAGTGCTGGACATTAGGCATTTAAAAAAGCAGCAGACTGAAAAGAAGCAGACCGAAAGGACACACACTCACAACTCACTGTTTAGCACACTCACACTACGCATGAGTGCCATCAAGAACATGTCATCTTACAAACACATCTTTTAAAATATTGCTTCTGTTGAGCGTAGGTCACAGTGCTGCTGACACTCAGTAAAGTCCTTTACTTTTCTTCAGGTCCGTTTTTTGTAAATCTGATAGACAGTTGTAGTCATTCCATATCATTCCCAAAGCAACCTAAAAAAAAAAAAAAGGTAAGTTACTTAACCTTCACCTGCTATATCTTTTTTTTCAGTATCCTGCTGGACTTAATAGTTTACTTGATATTAGCCTCTGTTTTCTAATTTGATTGGCTGACATTGAAAGGCACACAGATTTTTTTCTCAGGTTTTTTTTTTTCAGTCTGCTTGGAACCCAAGTTGTGAACCCAAGCTATTCAGAGTTATGTTTAAGGCACTTAGTAGTTAACTAGACATCCATATATTCTGCTTTTCCCCCCAAAGTTATACTACCATTCAAATGTTTAGGGTCATTAAATTTATTTTTAAGAAATTAATACTTTTATTCAGTTAGAATGCTTTAAATACATGTGACACTAAAGCCTAATGAAATATTACATGTCAAATAAATGCTGTTCTTGTAAAATTTTATTCATCAAAGAATCATGAAGCAAATGTAGTGATATTACACAAAAATAAAAAGCAGCACAACCGTTTTCAACACTGATGATAATAAGAAACGTTTCTTGAGCAGCAAATCAGCACATTATAATGATTTCTGAAGAGTCATGTGACACTGAAAACTGGGGTAATGGATGCTGAAAATTCAGTTTTACCATCACAGGAATAAATTATATTTTAAAATATAGTCAAATAGAAAACAATTATTTTAATCTGTAATAATATGTTACCCTGGACCACAAAACCAGTCATAAGGGTACATTTTGTGAAATTGAGATTTATACATCATCTGAAAGCTGAATAAATAAGCTTTCCGTTGATGTATGGTTTGTTAGGATAGGACAATATCTGTCCTGTCCTGAAAATCTGGAATCAGAGGGTGCAAAAAAATCAAAATACTGAGAAAATCGCCTTTAAAGTTGTCCAAATGAAGTTCTTAGCAATGCATATTACTAATCAAAAATTAAGTTTTGATATATTTATGGTAAGAAATTTACAAAATATCTTCATGGAACATGATCTTTACTTAATATCCTAATGATTTTTGGCATAAAAGAAAAATCGATAATTTTTACCCATACAATGTTTTTTTGGCTATTGCTACAAATATACCCAAGCGACTTAAGACTGGTTTTGTGGTCTAGGGTCACATATTTTTACAGCATCACTGTTTTTTCTGTATTTTTGATCAAATAAAGGCACCCTTGATGAGCATAAGACCCCAAACATGTGTCTGTGAAATAATTCATTAAATATCTTAATTATTTAAATTTAAATTACTATTTGTTAAATATCTAAAAAATCTATATAAGATAAAACAGCCCTTAAACTGCATGTACAAATAAAATTAACTGTAATTTGTTGCTTTACATGTCAGTAAGTCAAAGGTTTGGCTACACAAGGTTGGCTTTGTATGGATATAAAATGCAATTTTAGATGAAAAAAAACCAGCATAAAATAACTGATGACGGTGAAAGGCTGCTATTCAGATACTTTTGAAGCTCATCTTGTCAGTCAAACTGTATTATAATCTTTATTATGTTTTAATGTTAAACCTTGAAATCATGCTGAGACAGGTAGTTCTCCAAGTGTAAAGGATCCACTCCTTCAGGTAAAGGTCTCTTCAGCAGGTCCTTAAGGGGAAACTGGGACTTATTAAGGGCAGCTAGAGCATCCTGCACCAAAGTCAGCTTTTTACGCACTGTGCAGTCCTAGAAAAAAAAACGCAAACAAATATTTAAATGAGATTTCAGTGTAAATCAAATAACTCTGTACATGCGCATGTATATGATGATGATGATGTGTCCTCACTCACCTGTACTTCCTGTGTCAGTCTCATCTCCCATGAAGGGAATATATTAGTAAAGGTGAGAGGCTCCGCCCCTTCATCAATAAGATACGCCATGGGAGGCCGTCTGGGATTCCTCTCTGAACGCAAAACACCAAAAATAACTTAGAAATCAGAAACAGAAGGCTTCTGAACAGCATCTGTGCTTTCTAATATCTATTTACCTTTGCAGTACTGTAAGGCAGTCTCCATGGCGCACTTCTTCTCTTTGTCCCAGTGGGGGCGCTGTGAGATTGAAGCTTCACAACTTTGCCATAAATACACCTCCAGATAGTTATCCAGCAGGAATATTGCTGCCAAGAGAATGGTACAACACCACAGAAGTTTGAGAGAAAAATAACCCATATTATTTTAAGATTTTCTCATTTTAACTGTTTGTCTGTCAACTTCCTTAAGTACTAAACATTAAAAGGGGTTAAAAGTTAACCTAAGGTTAAGTGTAGTGTTAAAGTCTTTATGTGCACTCTTATGCTTCTGTGTACAGTTTGTGAACTTGCTTACTCTCACCTGGATGTGGCACGGCATATAACTTAGCCTGAAGGAAGGGCATTGCTGTAATTACACCATTTACATGGGAGGGGCTAATAAGCTCCACCCCTTTGAAAGTTCCTGATTGGGCACTCAGGTGATAAAGGCGGGGGGTAAAATTAAATTGACCAGGATCTAAAAGGAATAAAAAACATAGACAATCTCTTGTGAAAAATGGGTGAAAATGTTCATTGCATGACAAAGAGTAACAAGTTCACATGTTATTTATCATAGTTTGTTATACATCACACCTTGCAGCATGCAGTCATATGACTTCCTGTCCTCTGGTCCAATAGCATTCCAGAAGTCTGCTGGCTCTTTCCCCTCCTCCACTTCCTGGACATTCATAAATCTGCCAGCTCTCAGACTCTGCTCAGGTGGGCACCTAATCATCACATTAACCACATGAAATCAATCCTAATCTGGCAACGTGCATCTTTCATGCATCTTTCATTATTTTTCATGGGTTTACATGATACTTTTTACAGAATTCTAAAGGAGTTGCTCACATTTGTGTGAGGCGTTGGACCATCTGCTTGGCCACCTGACATGCCTTGCTGTGGGCTTTGCAGCCATGCCACAGGTAGATCGCCCCCTGCTGGCTGTTCAACAAGATCAATGAGCCACGAGACCTCAGACTGGAGCAAGAGCACTGTACCTCCAACAGACTGCCCTCCACTGGGACATCACCCCTCACACAGAACAGATGCCAGCCTCCTGAAACACATACCAAACATACTATGTCAGATGTATTAATTGGACCCATAGTAGGGGAGAGGATTAGATATCGCAATGACCAGACCTGTGTCTCTGCTTTGTTGTTGTCTATAAATGACCATTCCTCCCTGGAACAACTGCAGAAAACAGGGTGGCTCTTCCCCTTCTGTTACGAACACCTGAGAACTACACTGATTGGTCAGTGCTGGTGACAGGTCCCGCCCACTGATATTGGAGTGCCACCCTTTCCAGATGAAAAGAGCAGATCGTTCGTGACCTATTGCCATTTGATCCCCTGTGAAATAAAAAAAATAAAATAACTGACACAAACAGAATATTGTTTACATTTATGCAGAATAACTTATACAACTATTATATAAACAAACAAAATATTTAAATTTTCAAACTTTTCCATTTTTAAAAATGTGAATCTCTCTCGCTCTCTAGAATTAGTTTATTATTCTGTTTTAAAGGTGTAACAAATAAAAATACATTACCTTTGTTGTTACTTGATTTTAACCAATAAAGTTGTTTATTTTTCTGAGAGTGTTGCACCTTTTCTTCAAGCAATATTATTCTTCAAATTGTTATTATTATAATTACTTTTCTTCTTAAAAAATCATGAGAGTAGTCTAATTATTTTCTGAATTATTTCTAAATGAAGTAATTATTCTGTTTTAAAGTTTTAACAAACGAATTAATAAATAAATAATATTTCCCTTGATAATACGTACAGCTGGTTAGGAATCGCTTCCATAACATACAGAAAACCATTCGGTTTATAAGGTCTTACCCACACATTAACTCACCTAAGGCTGTGAGGCTGTATGTCCAGCGCACAGCATATGTGCTGCCCCCACTGAACTGTCCCAAGCTCTCTGGGGCAACCTCACACTCCTCACCCTCTGAAATAAGCAACATTTTCACTGCAAGAGTGCATAACTCCACCTGCCGACCATCACTCAGAGTGACCGTGTCCCGTCCCCTCCGTACATCCACACCATCCAGAACAATTTGTGACACCTCTGAGAGACAGACTCCACCGAAGAGAGCTCTGGCATCACATGACCACTGCTCAGCTGACACTGGCTGGGGAGATGACTTGAGTAAGGGGGTCTGGAGAAGAGACAAAAGACAGGAAAAATTAATCAAACTGAGTGAAAACTGGTCACTAGAGGACAGTAAGAACATAAAAAAAACATGAAATTCTGTTTCAACTAACTGTAGGTGGAAGTCATATAAAAGAGGAACATGAGATATGTTTATCTTAACTTGTGTATATCAGTCTCCTCACCTTCACCTCCTCTTGTATGGAAGGAGCAATGTAATTTTTGTTCACTTTTGTCTGCTCAAATGAGTTAGCAAACTTCTCTTTGAACAGTATCGTCTCATTTTGGTCAAACACACGGCCAAAAAGTGCCCAGTCAGGCCGTCCAATACCCTGCCTGAACACACAAATAAATACATTTATTTGTGAAGACAAAAATAGGTTATGTTTAATATAATAAAACTTATTTTTTTTATTTATTGTGTGTGTGTACGAGGATCAAATGTCCCCACAAGGATAGTAATCCCAATAAATTTTGACCTTGTGGGGACATTTTTTGGGTCCCCATGAGGAAACAATCTTATAAATCATCCAGAATGAAGCTTTTTGAAAATCTAAAATTGCAGAAAGTTTTGTTTGAGGGGTAGGTTTAGGGGTAAGGTTAGGGTAAGGGGATATAAAATACGATTTGTACTGTATAAAAACCATTATGTCTTTGGAATGTCCCCATAAAACATGGAAACCAGTGTGTGTGTGTTGCATAATGTATGCATTTATACATGGACTTAATGCAGCTTAAATGCTGCTTTCAATAAAAAAAAAATGGGAAAAACCATATACTGAGATATTCTGAAATTCATGTTAATTTTTCCAGTGGTTATACTGATAGTATAAATTGTAATATAAAAATTGTATTCAATTAAAAGAAGGCAAAACAGATGTATTTTCACCAGTGTACTTTTAGACCCCACTGTAGCTGAATATATGAAAATACTCCCATTAAAGTGAACCTACTTGTGAATATGGGCACTGCCACCAGAGGGATCCAGAGGGTTGATCCTGCAGTTGCTGTAGTCATACACTCCGTCCCAAACCTGCTGAGCCAGCTGAAGGGCCAGTTTCCTCTCGCTGGGGCCCACGTCTTTCCCGTGCCACAAATAGAGCTCGCTGCCGAAGTCAAACAGCAGAGTCTAAAACGGAAAAAGTACTGTCATTACATTTCACTATACACCTTAAATGCGGTTTCATTGTGTGTTATCACAAACTATTAAACAAAACAACTGCATGTGAAGTACGTCATTCATTCTTTAATAGTATGGTGACGAGGACCTGAGAGGAGTTCAGAAGACTGAGGTCTGGAACGACAGCCCAGCCCTGCTCATGAGGACTGAGTCTGTCCCCCTGCAGCCTATAAATACAGTTTGACTCTGATATGGCTCTCTCATAGTGCTCATCATCATCAGCACTGTCTGGACCTGCAGAGAGAAACACACACACAAACATATAAATGTCATCTGAGCAGTTTTGAGGAATAAAAGTGTTTATTATAGAACATTTTCTGTTATGTCTCTTGCCTTTATAATGGGTCTGTCCCCCGAGAAGATTCCAGAACTCTGCTGCCTGCAGGCTGTCTGTATTTACACCTTCATCCAGGTGAACAACACCTGTTGCCTGACAACCCAGATCCCTCTGGGTCACAATCACTGAGGCCATTTCAGACGCCTAGAACAAACCATTAGTCAACATCCAGGAACTAAAACCAATTCCTGATTATCTCACAAAAATATACTGTTGAAGATGCAAAAACCGCTGTAATGGCTTAAACAGGAATCACTCTGTTTCTGCGTGAACTGATGTACCTTTTCTCTCTCAATGGTGTTGGAGAGTTTGCCAGTCCAGAGGAAGCAGTGTGATGGTGTGACCAGCAGAAAGCAGTCACCACTGTTAAGAGAGCGTGATACCGGCTCCACCAACCGCACCTGCACCTGCCTCCACCCTGGATGAACAGAAACATGCACAGACTACATTACCTACGTCACTCTCACATGAAACTCAGAGGATCTTATGGCATTTCCAAGTATGAAAACCTGAGAAATCAAGTGTGCTTCTGTGCCTAATACAAATAATGCAGAACTTTACTACCACTCAAAGGTTTGGGATCAGTACAATTTTTAATTAATACTTTTATTCAGCAGGGATGCATTAAAGAAGAACATCAGGTGAATATTAGATACACTATCATACCTTTAACTTGGATGAGCATAAGTTTGTTGTATGGCACTGTGGGTCTGCTCCCTTTTCCAGAGAAAGAGACATCAGCTGGGGTGCAGTTAGAATTTTTCATAGCTTGAATAATAAAGTTTTTAAAAAATATATAATAATTATGATGCTAAATATGTTTAATGCTGTTAATACATTAAATTAATCATGACAAAATAGTTTAACCAGCAAAACTGTCATTGTCACTGGCTGACAAGTCTATACTAATTCAGGAATATAAAACAGTTACAAATTTTCATTTTAAACCTGTATTATTCTCCATTTCGCTGTTTTCTTCAGACTGCATGAAATCCTGTTGGATATCCTCTCGAGCAGCAAGAGCGCGTAATGGATTCCTCGAACCCTGGGTCCTGCGGGATGGCCGAACTGAACGCCTGTGCTCGGCTACAGCTGAGCTCAAACTAAACACAAACAGAGCGTTAACTTATATCTTCTCACACACAGGGAAATCCCTCACAGATGTACAGATGCTGGCTTTACATTGGTGTGTTGGTCTGACAGAGAGTGCTCAGGTCTGACTCTGTGTCTCCTCCAGTGGTCGGATACGCTGGTAGTGAAGAGTGTTCAGAAGTCATCTCAGCACCAAACATCTGACTCTCTTGGACTTCACTGGCGCAAATGGTTTGTGTTTCTTTAAAGATGAGTCTGGGAGAGTCTTCCTCCTCACAGCTTGCCTGAAATAACAGACAAACTGAATTAGTTGATATTCTAATATATTCTAATATCCATTATTATATTTCAATGTTTGAATAGATTAAAGGTCAAAAGTTTGGGCTTGGTAAGATCTTTTAATGTTTTGGAAAGAAGTCTCATATGCTCAGCAAGGCTGGATTTATTTGAACAAATATACAATAAAATGAAATATTATAATTTAAAATAACTGTTTTCTAATTAATTATATATTTTAAAATGTAATTTATTTCTGTGATGGCAAAGCTGAATTTTCAGCATCATTACTCCAGTCTTCAGTGTCACATGATCCTTCAGAAATCATTCTAATATGCTGATTGGCTGCTCAAAAAAAACATTTCTTATTATTATCAATGTTAAAAACAGCTGTGTAGTTGTGTAAATATTTTTTGTGGAAAGTTATAAATTTTTTCAGCATTATTGCATGAATAGAAAGTTTAAAAGAACAGCAGAATTTTGTAACAATGTAGAAGTCTTTATTTTCACCTTTGACTAATTTAATGCATCCTTGCTGAATAAAGGTATTTCTTTTTTTTTTAAATCTTACTGGCCCCAAACGTTTTAACAGTAGTGTCTATGTATCTTTAAAAATACCATGAGTCTCCCCGTCACCTGTGGTTGAGTTTGAGTTGTGTTGGAAACCTCCTGAGCTTCATAAGAAAGACTCCTCTAGAGAGGGAGAAAGAAAGAAGAAGAGTATAATAATAGCAATTGTCTAGGTCTGCCAGTCAAAGTTAAATCAATTCAATGACATGCCATTATTGACAGTTAAATGTTGAAAATGTTTTGCTCAAATGTATTCTGCGGACCTTAATATGGCAAGGCAGCAAAAACACACACACACACACACACACACACACACACACACATTCACAACACACTATACAGTAAAACAGATGCACCAATGTTATATTTAAAAGCACATGCTTAGAGCAATAGCAGTTTATGAACACATTCATTACATTCAGTCATATGAAAATTCACACCAAATGTTCTACATGGACATAAAAACATGAAAGAAATTCTCACCTCATTGAAAAACATCACATACTGAGGTGTGGAGCTTGAACGAGTGTATATAGAGGAAAATACAGGCTCCTGAGAGGAGAGGAGAGGAGAGGAGAGGAGAGGAGGTTGATTAATGAAATCTCATTCTCTTCCATTTCCAATGCAAAAATATATGGTCAGTTAAATAGAATGAATACAAAGAAACGACAACTAATGAAACTCACTTTTTAACACATAAAGTAATAAGCAATGATATATGGTAATTTAGTCAGTTAAAGTAACAGAAACACTTCCAATCAAACCTGTAAAAACACACATAATATTCTTACCCAACATTGAGTTTGAAGATTAGACTCAGCTGTAGTGACATTCTCATCCTACAGGGGGCAGTGTGGAAACCAGGGAGGAGAAAGACATGAGGAAACATTAGAGTGACACATGTGACTCACATGCTGCATGCCAATGCACACTTAACACAAACATGCATGCTGATGCATTTATTTACTCACAAAAATATGAATACACCTCCTAGTAAATATGACCTAGTTAAATTCGCTTAGATACATTAGCTCTCTGTAAAAACACAATGAAATTATCATCTACTGTACAACACACATACAGTTCACAAACCTGTGGCGCACTGCTCAGACTGATATTGCACCTTGCTTTATCACTTTGCTTTTCCTCTTCTTTCTCAGTTCCTGCTGAGTCTATCACCCTGTGGAAAACATTTTCTCATTTAATAGGGCCAAAACACTGCAGAATTAAATAATAATAATAATAATAAAATTTTAACAAACTCAATCCACCTAATTTTTTAAACGCAGAAGTAAGCTATTTTCTGTGAATGTGCAATTAATATAATATATAATAATTATCAATTAAATAATAAATAATAATATGACAACAAATGCAAATACAATACAGTTTGCAATATGAAGCAGCATAACAGACTGTTTTTGTAATTAATTAAAACAGTCTGGAAGCAGCTGACACCAGAAGCCTTGCAAATGGCTGTGCTTGCATAAGGTGAATAGCTTTCATCAGATCGTCCCCTAATTTGGGGTACATAATCCTCATACTACGTAGTTTAAAAGTAGCACATCAACTATTTTTATGGTGAAGAAGACACAAATCAGGAAGTGAGGCTGTATCTTTGCACACTTTGAGGTACTGACATGAGACTTACTTTGTATCACTGCCACAATGATTTGTAATACAGGAGCACTTTGGTGACAGTGCCACCTACTTATAAAAATCTCACAAAACTTTAAAATAACCAATGGTTTAAAATCACAATCCTTCCCAATTACTCAGAAAAATCCAGTCTGTTTTAAAGATTTATACATTCCAATTGTATGACAGATTTCCATCAGAATGAATTGAGTGATCTTTAAATTCTGTGTGTATAATGAATTCTGAATACATGTGAAGAATTTAATCAAAATGAAATAAAAGAACTTTGATACCAAGGATCCCAAACAGGAAGTGAGGCTGCATCTTGATAATACAGAGTAAGAACCACCTTACTCTTATTGGATGTGCAAAGTTTCAAGTCAGCAGCACCTACTAATAATCTGTATCTGTTTGTAAATTTTTTAATCAATATTGTTTGAAAATCTGACTGCGAAAGAGTGCTATATATATTCTGGTAAAACTACATTTATTGTTTATTTACTGTCATGTTTAAACAAATGAATGCACCCTTCCTGTAAATCTTAATGAGCCCAAACGTTTGAAAGGTAGAAAGAGCGAAAGAGTGAAAGGGAGAGAACCTGTCACTGATGGCTGATTCTCTGCTCTGTTCTGTGGTCTGGAGGTCCTCTGATAGAAATGGACGTTCCTCAGGCTTTGGAGCAGATCTCCATGTTCTGCCAGAGGATGCAGAGGCTTCCTTCCTTGCCCTCTGCCTCCAGGGAGCACTCGAGAGAGGAGCCGGTTCCACAGGTGACACCTGTTTAATTTGTTAATAAAAATGATTGTTATGATTATACTGGGGGGGGGACCAAAGTGTTTTTTTGTTTTTTTAGTTATTTATTATTATTTTGTTGTGATGGCTATGCTAAACATGCACCAACCAGCATAAACCAGCATGAAACTCATACATTTTCATCAGGGTCACTAGATCTAAAGCTTTTGTAACACATACTGATTAGCTCACCATTGGACAGATTTAACATTTACTCCACAAGTGGCAAATGGAGATTAATTCTGGTAATCACAGACATGCAGACCTATACAGTATGTCCACTTACCAAATTGACCTCATCCACAGTGATGGGCTGTGTGCGGTAACGGGCACCCTTCTGTCTGCGTCTCTCAGAGGCCTCTAGAGGGCTGCTGTCTCTCACAGGACTCCCCACAGCACCCAATATTGGCTGAGACAGTTTGTTGAAGAGAGCCAGTTTCTCACTCATCGATAGTTTAGTGCCAGCATCGTCCTCCACCTCTGGCTCAGCCTCACCTGCCTCACCCGACTGTGGACTGAAGAAGAAACAATAGACAGTGAATAAGCTCATCATCTTTTTCCCCAATACGCTGCTTGTTTTTAACTCTCAGAATTACGGTTTAAAGTAGCAGTGGCACTTCTGCAGATGGAGTGTTGAGCTGCAAAATGAGAACGTTGAATCAAAGAAGTCCTGCCTACCTCGCTGCAATAACTGTTTCCTCAAAGGTGATTGGCTGAGTGAGTGCCCGAGGGTCGTTGTTACGGCGAACTCTACGCGCATGGAATCTATTACTGGCGCGAGGTTTGAGGAATGAGGATGCCTCAGGTGAAGCTGTCTTCTCTAACTCCTGATGGCGGAACAACAATTAAATAAAAAATTAATTGAAAAAAATATCAGAATGTTCATGCTATTCTTTTCCATAAAATGAATGTGAATGCTGGCCAAGGGCCATCAAACTCAAATAATGACCATGAAAGTGATTTCAGATTTCAGTCTTACATTCATGTTGTCATACACTCTAATATACTCCACGTTTGGTCACAATTCACTTTCATTGTACGTGAAACACTTTTGTGAAAATCTACCTCCACAGAAGAATGAATATCATTAATCACATCAACATGTGGATGACTAAATGACAGAATTATCATTGTTGGGTGAACAATTCCTGTAATTTCTGTATCGCCAAGAAAATGAAATTGCAATGCCATTTTTAATGTCTCTGTCTCTGGTGTAGCAGCAGCAGAATGAATAAAATAGAGCCTGGGTTGGCACTCTGGGTAAGGAAGACACAGTAACCAGTGAAACCCAGTGGGTCACGCTGTAACCAAACACTCCAGGTGTCTTATTACCACCTACGACCCAAAGACAGACAAAGCAAAAGAACAGAGAAGAAAAAACATACTGGAGCAGAAATACAGAGAGAATACCTCAAAATTACAAATACCTAGTAAATTAATGACAGTGTATTCAAAATTCATTGTCTAATGTTTCCTAGCAGCATCTCATTATTTTTCACAATTCATATGTTTACTTTATTATGAACAAACTCTGAAAGATTAAAAACATCTTTGTATGTGAGTATATGTTCTGAGTGTGTAATTTCTGAAAATATAAGGCAATGATGCCTGGCAAAACAGAAAGGTCATAAAAGTACTAAATACTAAAACACCAAAAGGTGTATTTTATGGTAATGGATAAGTATGCAGTATTTATAATTAGCTTCTATTAAGAACAGTAAATTGGGAAGTCCCCACACGGGTAAATATATACAAGGTGTGTGTGTATTCCATCCATGGCAATGACCTTTTTCTTTTCAGCCTGCAGCAGTTGCTAAAGCGATATGGTGGGCTCTTGTTTCACCTACTTTAAACAGAGACATCTTGGCAGCTACACTCATCTTGGCTCTGTCATCTGTCTTTACATCCACTGCAAGAAAACAACAAGCACACCATTACATGTGGACAAGGCTCTCTAAGTCACACACATGGATTTTACTGCATTAGACTGCATTACTCCTAATGTGGCACAATGTAAACTGAGTGAACTCACCCTGCTAATTTACACACACAGACACATGTTTATCTAATTGAGAACATACCATAACTACTACTGTTTTGATTAAGTTGATTAAGTGAATTATAATGAATTAACTGTAACTCAAACCTTTACATTAAAATACATTTTGCTTTTTTCAGAATTATTTAAAATATTATTTATATTGTTTTTGTAATTGAGGATGTCCCTAAAGAGGGGTTTTGTCAGATTTCACTCAGATCTGAGGACAAATTTGGCCACAAACTATAGCTATCTAAATGCATACGCGCACTCGCATGTGCATTTGATTCACCTTAGATCATATTAAAATGTCTGTGTGAGATCACTAAATGACTAACAAACATATCATACATACTCTCTCACACACTCATAAACTCATTGCACTGTGTTTGGCCAAACGCACAAACAGCCTGGCAGATGTATTCTTCACCTGTGCGTATTTCTCTTGACTGGCAGATTTACAGCTGATCTCAAACACACACACACACACACACACACACACACACTTCTTCCCTCTGTTTGTCTCTCAGGTCATGTGTGAACTTAGTTCATTATATTAACACTAACTGTGTTTTTAGATGATTTGATGATTATATGTCCTAAAAAGCATGCCTTATATTTGTCACTCTATCAGCTTGCTCTAACATAACCTTGTAAGATTTATCTTCTCTCTGGTAATAAAACAGAGGTCATTATAACTGTTTACGACAGTATCCACTTACTTACAATATATGCATGTTCAAGAGTGTGTTTATGTTTTGGTTTACTATGGTATTCTGCACACTTTCACTACACACACAGTCTTACTTTGATCCATCGTTTTACTCCATCATAAAAATGTTATTTTTTTAATAGGTATTATGTTGCGTTAATACTATGTAGAGGTAGAGTTACAAAACTTTTAAAAGACCACTCAGACTACAGCTACGCAACCATTTACAAAAAAACACATCCATATGTACCAACGACAGTATATACACTACCGTTCAAAGTTTTGGGTCAGTAAGATTTCTTTTTTATTTTACAAAAAATCAATACTTTAATCAAGGGTGCATTAAATTGATAACATATGAAAATAATAACATGTATGATGTTACAAAGTATTTCTAAGGAAACTAATAAAAGTAAATGCAAATCAAAGAATCTTAAAAAATATATATCATGATTTCCACAAAAATATTAAGCAACATTGATAATAATAAATGTTTCTTAAGCAGCAAATCAGCATATTAGAATGATTTCTGAAGGATCATGTGACACTGAAGACTGGAGTAATGATGCTGAAAATTCAGCTTTGCATGAAGGAATAAATTACACTTTCATATATATTAAAATAAAAGTAAAGTTATTTTTAATTGTAATAATATTTCACAATATTAAAATTTTTACTGTATTTTTGATCAAATAAATGCAGCCTTGGTTAGCATAAGAGACTTCTTTAAAAAAAAAAGCATTACAAATTATACCAACCCCTAATTTTTTTTGCATTGCAAAAATATGCAGTATTATAACATCATCTTTGTTTTCATCTATTTACCTTATCACAGTTTTTTTCTATTCAATTCCATGAGTTTTCAGAGTTTTAGCTTAATCTTCTTCATCAATAATTAAATTCAAAACTGCTGAAAAAGTGAAATGAGCTTCTCACTGCAGGTTTTAGCTTTAGCACCACATTAATTACTTAATTACTTAAATCACTTAAATTAAAAATGCAGCAATTTTAAGCACTTACTTTGCGAGGTGTCTTGATTTTCATTGTCCATTTTTCTGTGAAATAAAGAAATTAATTAGAATTCTCAAAGTAAAAGGACCGGACAATCAAACTCGCACTCAACCACTCACTCAGTCCTTCTCATGCAAAGTAAGTGATACACAGAAAAAAGTGAGATGACTTCACGCCAGATCTGCTTTAACAAGCCTCTCCTGCACTACAGGCATTGTGACAGACACAGACACATCTGTGCAGGTTATAAGCATGACATAATGCTAACTATTAAAACTATGAGCTCTCACACACACCCTGTTTGATGATGCTATCAAGCACATAAGATACATGCTGAACTCATTTCCTGACTCAAAGGAAAGGACTGTGCTGACTTATGATATCTGACATCTGTTAATATATTCCAGGTAGTTATGATATTGAAAGGTTTATTTTAATAGCAATAAAAAGTCCTTTGATTTTACTTTCAAACTAAATAGCAACACACCCAGCACTTTCTTTCTTAAACATTTGCTTGTCACTATGCAATAATCCAACAAGGTCTACACACACACACACACACACACACATACAGGTGCATCTCAATAAATTAGAATGTCGTGGAAAAGTTCATTTATTTCAGTAATTCAACTCAAATTGTGAAACTCGTGTATTAAATAAATTCAATGCACACAGACTGAAGTCTTTGGTTCTTTTAATTGATTGGATTTTGGCTCACATTTAACAAAAACCCACCAACTCACTATCTCAACAAATTAGAATACTCCATAAGACCAATAAAAAAAAACATTTTTAAATATGTGTGTGTGTGTGTGTGTGTGTGTGTATGTATGTATGTATGAATGTGGTAACACTTTAGTTTAGTGTTAGAATTATAGAATTATCATATTGGATGTTCATTATAAAACACATATGTTTTATATGTCTTATTCTGCATGACCATATTCTACATCCCTTAATCCTACCCACAAAAATAAAAAAAGGCAATTACAACTTTTTATCTCACAATTCACTTTTTTTGTTTTGAATTTTGAAAACTCGCAATTCTGAGAAAAAAGGCAGAATTGTGAGATACAAAGTCAGAATTCTGATATTTTCCTTGCAATTCTAAGTTTCTATCTCCTAATTCTGACATTTTCTCAGAATGCTGAGTTTACATTTCTCATTTCTGTTATTTTGTTTCCACCACTGAAGAAAAAAAAATGTAATTGCTACTTTTCTTGTCACAATTTACATCTCGCAATTCAGCAAAAATAAGATTGAATTGAAACTCAGAATTGCAAGGGAAAAAAAGTCTGAACTGTGAGATAAAAAGTCACAATTAGCTTTTATTAATACCATTAATTTTTTATCCCGTGGCAGAAACATGCTCCCATTTATGTACATACACCACTGTTCAAAAGTTTGGGGTTAATGCAATTTTTAAATGTTTTTGAAAGAAGTCTCTTATTCTCACCAAGATTATTTTTATTTAAAAAAATGCACAGTAAGACAGTAACATTGCAAAATATTACTACAATTTAAAAATAACCTTTTAAGTTCAAAAGAAAAGCATTTATTTAAAAAAGAAATCTTTTGTAACATTATAAATGTCTTTACCTTCACTTTTGATCAATTCAAAGCTTCCTTGAATGAAAGTATTAATAATAAAAAGAACTGCTCACAAAATTCTGAACGGTACTGTATGTATGCAATGAATCAGAGGCATTTGCATGTATGAATGGTTCTTGTCACATGATAACAGGTTAATAACAGGCAAAACACCCAATAAAGTTAATGTGACTAGGTAGTAAGCAACTGCTGTAAGCACACTGCAGGCCTAAGTGGAGATCAGAGACAGGCGTCTCCATACCCGCAGCTGTCCTTTATCTCACTGGCTGTAACGGGTTGAGTACGAAAGCGTTCACTATTTTTGCGGCTCCCTGCAGGATCCCCTGGCATGTATCTGCGGGCACGCCGATGACTTCCCTCGGCACCTGGTTGAAGTGCTATGTCAAGAGTCAAGGCCACCACGCCACCATCAGTGGCTCTAATATTTGAATAGACAGACCACAACAGATGGAGGAGAGGAAGAATGTGTGGATGTGGGAAAAAGAAACAGAGAAAGAAGGAATGAGTCAAAGGAAAAGATTAGAAAAGGACTCCTTTTCTTTGCTACTCCTCACAGCACACTGAAGATGGTAGAGTGTTAGACAGCATCAATCACACTGTCCCAAAACTACGGGTGCACATTAGCATTGTGTTACCACCACAAAATGTGCACAGAACACAATTTATAACATAAAGAGATAAACATAAAGTCCAGTGAACCCCAAAATTGAATATTTAGCATACAAGGATACAGATCCAGCCAACATTGAATCCAATGCTTAAAATATTGTTTAGCACGTTTAGAATTTAGAATAGTTCGAATTTTTACAAAATATTTTTTTAAAAGATTTTAAATGTTTGAAAGTCTTTAAAAAAGTGTTGAGCATAATATATACTGTATGTGTGGATGAATTAAGTCTATTAATTTGTTGATTCAACCGGAGCTATTTTTAATTATATTTATATATTTACATTTATATTTATACACTACTGTTCAAATTGGGGGTCAGTAAGATTTTTTGCTGTTTTTGAAAGAAGTCTGTTATGCTCACCAAGGCTGCCATTTCTTGAACAAAAACATATGAAAACAGTAATATTGTGAAATACTATTACAATTTATAAATAACTTTTTCCAATTTTGAATATATTTTAAAATGTAATTTATTCCTGTGAAGGCAAAGCTGTATTGTCAGCATCATTACTCCAGTCTTCAGTGTCACATGATCTTCAGAAATCATTCTAATATGCTGATTTGCTGCTCAAGAAACATTTCTTATTAACGTCAATGTTAAAAACAGTTGTGTTGCTTAATATTTTTGTAGAAACTGTGATACATTTTTTCAAGATTTTTAGATAGTTCAAAATAACAGCATTTATTTGAAATAAAAATATTTTGTAACATTATACATATCTTTACTGTCACGTTTGACCAATTTAATGCATCCCTACAGAATAAAAGTAATAACTTCTTAAAGAAAAAAAAATTATTACTGACCCCAAACTTTTGAATGGTAGTGTGTATATACATTATATTAATATGTATTATATATTAAAATATATACAGCTTTTATAAGACTGTTGTGAATACAATTTCAAACATATTTTAAAGTGGACACTTTATGAAATATTATTATTATGCACAATTCTGGTGTTAGCGTTAGCACTGGCCAAATAACTGAAAAAGTTTTGCCTGAGGTAATGCAAACAGAATGAAGCGGGAAATGAACACGCACACTGAGGCATCCCTACACTCTATCTGATGGAGCTGGGCTCGAGGTTTGCTGTAGAAGAGCATTCTTCAGCTGGCCTACTGATACATGAGTGTGTAACTGGGGAGTGTCGGGGGTTGAGGGCCCATGGGAGTCTGGAGGGTTTTCCCCAGCCACTGTACCATACGAGCCCAAAAAACATTCCCTGGAGAGAGGCAGAAGACTTCAACTAGAGACAAGAACTGGAGGAAATACAGTGTGCAAGGAAGGGACAGCTGAGAGACAAGAGGGACAGAGGTAAATAAAGAGAATGATAAAAGTGTAGCTGGAAATTTAAGATTTATTTGAATTGCATGTATAATTTCCATCCATTTGGATTACACCGTTTTGACATAAGGAAACTAATAAACATAATGTGATGTATATTTGCCAGTCATACATAAATTAAACAAATATGATTTCTATAATAGTACTAATAAACTGAATGTGTTTTAAATACGCAATAACCAGGTTTATATATTTATCATCAATAAATCAACTTTGTTTCAATCTCATACTTTTCAACTAATCCACAACTATAGCCATATTTTAAGCATATTTATACTTTTCAACTGAATTAATGTCATTGTTTTCACAATAAACAGATGCATGCTGATTCTAAGCAAGTTGAATGAATGCCATTTAAAAATATTATTTAAATAAAACCAGACAGATACAAATTGTGAATAACAGAATATGCCATAATATTTTGAGTACAGAAATCTTGTTTCGTTTATATGATTGTCAAACATGCATCACATTGTTTATTAGTTTGTGTTAAAACAGTGAAATTCAAATTCAAATAAGTTTGGCCTAAATATTTTTAGTGTACAGGGAAATATTGCAAAACCTAATGAGGATTAGAATATATTCAAAGCGTGATCTTCTTAAACATTTGCAAAAGATTTTCCATAACTCCCTCCTTGCGATTAATGTCCCGTTATGTCCACAACAAAACCAGGAATGTAAACAAGAAGAATTTTGACTTGATATTTTCAATATGATTTAAAATTATATTGGAATATAAGAGAGAGGAATGTCACAAATCTTTGTATGCTACAAAGGCACAGGAAAGCTCACCTGTTTTGGTGTGTGTTCTCTCCACGCGCATTCACCTTACACCCATTGGATATCTTTTCAGGACCAGGCCTTTCTTCTAGTGGCGTTTGTCCATTCCTCCCCATCCCTCCATTCATACCTCCTGAAACAGACTTATCCGCATAGGTAGAGTCACAGACGCCGCGTCCTTCCCTCTCTCTTCTCGACCACTTTGACGGAAGCTCCTCCTCCTGGCTGCCGTAACGTTCAGCCAGTTCTCGGCGTCTCTCTGCTTTGTAGCGAGCTATCCGTTCAGCTCTGGACTCCTGGGTTGCACTTTCCATTTTGTCCATATCATTAACTCACTGTACCTGAGTTAGGGAGAAAAATTCCTGGTGTGTGATTAAGATGATAGCAACACCTCAATTTGGAAAAACAAGGGTGGAGTCACAACTGAAGAAAGTTTGGCTGATCAGAAGCTCAAATTACAGCAGGTTCCTCTAATAATATGTTTGAGTACCATCCTGATTACTTCCCTGAGGACATGGCACTGTTGAAAAACAAATAAAAGAGTTCTTGATTAAAACAGATGTATTTATAAGCTTGACATACAGAGGTGTCACATATTTATAAAAAGGAGAATGCGAAAACAAGTTAATTCAGCAATCATCTTACACACAAATATAGACTCATTTTACTTTTTCATTTCACAGTCCATGCAAGGCTATAAACCTACCTGTAAAACTAGCAATTCCCTTTCCTAATTATCTGTGTAAGTGTGCTCCATGACCTGCTTTGCTGAGCTCCTGCATTTGGGAAACTCCTCTTGCACTGACACTCTACACCACTGAAGTGCAGCTCAACTTTGAGGGCAAACCATTCATCAGACAAGCTGATCCATCAACACCCAACACAGGTGTATTTTAGTATATTTCAGTTTCAGCAAGTTTACTGCTTATTTTCCTACTAACAAAAATAGCAATAACACTTACAATACCCCCCCCAAAGAAAAAAAATGATTCTAACATAAAAACAAACAACTGCTTAGACCAGCATAAATGACAAGATTCAAATTCCAAGAAGCATGCAATATAGCATAAAATGATTAACCTTGCTAAATGTGTATCAGCTATTTTCACAGACCCCACTGACCATTTAATACCTCAAAAAACGTTGGGGGTCAGTAAGATTCTCTTATGCTCACCAAGGCTGCATTTAAATCACAGTAAAAACAGCAATATTATGTGATATTATTACAATTTTAAATGACTGTTTATCCTTCAGAAATCATTCTAATATGCTGAAACATTTATTATTGTCATCAATGTTGAAAACAGTTGTGCTGCTTAATATTAATGTGGAAACTGTAATGCATTTTTTAGGATACATTCATGAATATAATGTTCACAAGAACAGCGTTTATATTAAATAATTTAAACATTTTGTAAAATTAATTATAAATGTCTTTACTGTCAGTTTTGAACAATTCAATACGTGCTTGCTGAATAAACATTTTAATTTGTTTTAAAAATAAATTCAATGCAAAGCACACGCCTGCTAATTGTCTTTTTGGATTTTTTTTTTGTTTTTGTTTTTTTGCTGAGGTCTATTATCTATCAAATAGATGATGATGGTCAGAGGAACACGTTTTAAGGAAAACTATCATTCAATTTAGAAATTACTATTGTTGTTAATTTTACACATCTCTTTGATCCCACACATACAGTACACAAATAAAGGTTCTTCATTAGAATTGGTGCATGGAACCTTTCCATTGTACAAACAGTTCTTAATAGTGGGAATAAATGTTATTTTATAGCGGGAAAAGGTTCTTCTATTAAGAACTGTTCACTGAAAGGTTCTTTGGGGAGCAAAAATGGTTCTTCTATGGCATTTCTGTGTAAACAACCTTTTGGAAGCTTTACTTTTAAGAGTGTATTGTAAAGACAGTCATTTCTGAACAATAACATGAAGAACCTGAAGAGCAAGTGGAACTAATGCATCTGGTCTGAAAAGAGCCTGTAAGCCATCATCTTGTTAGTCACACTCAGCTGTAATACATGACATTACCCAAACAGCACCGTTCAGAGCATGCCTTCCTAAATTATCATTCATGAACCCACAGATATAGTTACCTAGTCACCAAGCTGCCATAACAACACAAACACAGCTTTACTCATACATAAATAATGACATCATCATGTTTTCACCCATATAACATAGACCTGGCATGTGGTGGACGGTCAACCCATGGGAGCCCTAAGAGAGCTGCTGTAGGGAATGTACCATTGTGTGTGTTTGGAAAGCCAGACTAAAGATGGTGATGAGACTGAACTATAATTACCAATTACTCATGTTTTTTTTTTTGTTTTTTTTTAAACCTTTGAAAGTGTTAAGAATAGCTTTTGAAATGGGAATATCTAGTAATGACTGGTTACAATCTTGAAGTTTAGTCCATCAAAGAACAGCTATGAGTGTGTGTGTGTGTGTGTGTGTGTGTGTGTGTGTGCGCTAGCGAGCATCCGATGTAAAGTCACGTTTTCGTTTCGAAGAAGAAGTCACGCTGTTAGCATTGTTCCAACGTGCTCTGAAGCGAAATTATAATCTCACAAAGTGTTTATTCATTTTACGGGTCAGCTAACTGTGAGGTGACACTGCAGAGTATATTGTTCATGTGTTTATATGTGTAATCACTTTGCTAGTTGAATTAATTCGTTACCATACAAACAAATAACCGCTCCGGCACTCCCGCGGACGGTTTGTTCGCGCGCAGGTAACGTTACTGCGAGTGTGGATGAACAAATACTGAAGTTACAGTGGGCTTTATCATGATATCAAAAAGTAATTACTGTTTGCTTATTAATATGATAATGTTCTGTAACTGTGCTTTCAGTCATTGAATTAATTATTTACTCAAAACTGTTAAATTAGATAAAATATAAATATGTGTATTTTTTTGGTGCTTAGTTATAATTTGATGTAATACTTTATTGTGTTTCTGAATTGTTTAATGTGAGTTTACTTGTATAAGCCACTTTCCATGTGCAGTTATGCTCAGTAATGTTGTTTAAGTAGTTTTGTTTACTGATATAGTGCATCAATAATAAAATACATTTAACCAAGAGAAAAAAACCTTGTGTGTACATTAATAATTAATAAATGATTAATGTGTCCACTTTACTTCAAAGTTCACTTTCACAGGTTAATGATGTTCATAACTCATTAATAAATGGTTCACAGGTGTTCACTTTTAAGGTTCGCTTTCCTCTGTCCTGTAGGTTTTGACACCAGCATTTTGCCCATCTGTAAAGATTCTCTCGGGTGGATGTTCAACAAGCTGGACATGAATTACGACCTTCTGCTCGACCAATCAGAGCTCAGCGCCATTTACCTTGACAAATACGAGCTGTGCATGCGGCCACTGTTCAACTCCTGCGACTCCTTCAAAGATGGAAAGCTGTCCAACAACGAGTGGTGCTACTGTTTCCAGAAACCTGACGGTGAGTTATACGACATTATACATATACATTATATTGGGCAGTATTTCACAATGGGGAGCTAGGCATAATTTGAATTAGAAAAGTCACAGACACTGGACTGTTTTAAATGTGTTTCTCCAGGCATGCCGTGTCAGAACGAGATGAACAGGATTCATTCTCAGAGCCGGAGGAAGGCTCTGATAGGTGGGTGGATTTGATGAACAGCTGTTAGCTCCTCCCCCTGAATCCAGCATGAAACGACTTGTAAGTGTGTGTGTGTGTGTGTGTGTGTGTAGGGGCTCCTCTGCTCCTAAATAAGCAAACTGAAAGCATCAGCATTCTGCCAGATCCTCTCACAACTGAAACACAATAGGCCCAGTATAATAACAGAGTAGAGATCCAGCAGTACTACAGCAGAGAATGGGGTACCACTTCACTCAGTGAGCCTTATATGGTGTTTCAGGAACCCAGAGTTTGAGCTCTCAATTCTACTGAACTCATAACATGAGGAATCACAATTTTCATAATCTTCTGATATAATAGTGTTCTTCCTCCAAGAACTTTAAGGGACTGTTTATGAAAACGTAAATTTGTGAAAATGGTGATGTCATATGCATGCATATTACATGTTCAGTCAATAGGAATGCATATGTGTGCAGGCGTGTATTTTTGTCTGTAGTTGCCAGTGTGTCACCAAAGCCTGTAAATGGCGCTAGCGAGCATCCGATGTAAAGTCACGTTTTCGTTTCGAAGAAGAAGTCACACTGTTAGCATTGTTCCAACGTGACCAAGAGAAAAAAACCTTGTGTGTACATTAATAATTAATAAATGATTAATGTGTCCACTTTACTTCAAAGTTCACTTTCACAGGTTAATGATGTTCATAACTCATTAATAAATGGTTCACAGGTGTTCACTTTACATTAAGGTTCACTTTTACAGATTACTAACGTTTATAGATCATTAATAAATGGTTCGCAGGTGTTCACTTTACATTAAGGTTCACTTTTACAGGTTACTAACGTTTATAGATCATTAATAAATGGTTCGCAGGTGTTCACTTTACATTAAGGTTTACTTTCACAGGTTACTAACGTTTATAGATAATTAATAAATGGTTCACAGGCGATCACTTTATATTAAGGTTCACTTTCACAGGTTACTAACGTTTATAGCTCATTAATAAATGGTTCACAGGTGATCACATTACATTAAGGTTCCACTTTACATTAAGGTTCACTTTCACAGGTTACTAACGTTTATAACTAATTAATAAATGGTTCACAGGTGATCATTTTAAGGTTCATTTTTAGACATTATTACCGTTTATAACTCATTAATAACTGGTTCACAGATGTTCACTTTACATTAAGGTGCACTTTCACAGGTTATCAATGTTTATAAATCATTAATAAATGACTCATTACATTAAGGTTCACAGGTAATATTGGAATTAAAATTTTCAATATTAATATCTCATCAAGTCATGGGTGTGCTTTTATTATTTTTTCCCCAAAATAAAAATCAAGATGATAATTTACACCTTTATAAACTTTTTATAAAGGGAACCTTAATGTAAAGTGTTACCGAAAAACCTTTCAGTTTTTAGTCCAACTGTTGTTTTATAAACGTATCTTAAATATTGTAATCTGTCAATAGTGGAAATCACAGGTTGGTGCATTTAAAGGGATAGTTCAGTCAAATATGAATATTTTCTCTTTCTTCTGTTGAGCACAAAAGAAGATTGCTGGTAGCCATTGACTTCCATAGTAAATAAATACTACAGAGATCAATGGCTACCAGCAACTGTTTCCAACATTCTTCAAAATATCTTCTTTTGTGCTCAGCAGAAAAAAAAAGAAACTCATACAGGTTTAGAAAAACATGAGGGTGCGAAAATTATTACAAAATTTTTATTTTTGGGTGGGCCATCACAGTCGTCGCAAAGTTAAATAGTAGGAGTTTGTTATATGAGCTGTACAGGAAAAACTGTTCAAATAGTCAAGACAGTAAAGGTTTTTAACGTAAACATTTAAAACAATTTGTTTCATTTACATACAGCTCATATATATATATATATATGAAGATCCTGTTCAGTATTGCATTAAAAATTTACATTTATGCATTTGGCAAACACTTTTATCCAAATCAACTTACATTGCATTCAAATTATACATTTACATTTTATCAGTTCAGCTTTCCCTGGTATTAAAACCCACAAACCCATTGCTAGCAAACTTACTCCACTGTTCAAGCTACAGGAAAGTCTATTAAGGAAAGACTCATACTTATTATTTAAGTTATAATAAATGAACACTGATAAAGGCTTTTGTCAAATCTAATCTAATAATAGCTTAAACCTCTTAAGACTGGGCATTACTGGACAGGATCTTCAGCAGCATTGCCATGTTCTTTCTATAGGGAGCATGAGAGTCATGTCTTGTCAGAAAGTGACTTGCCTGAGAGGTTTAGCAAGCTTAGCCATGCTATGACCCCTGATAAGAGTCTCAGATCAGGAGAGCAAAGAGTGTGACTACCAAGTCAAAATGTGTGTGCTGAGTTTAAATATCTAAACATGCAAAAAACTATTAATATTTGTGAAAAAAAATCTTAATACTGCTATGTGCATTTAACAACATCTTTGTTTTCATCTAATTAACTTATATTTAGGTAAGCTTTTTTAAGACACGGTTTATCTCGGTAAGTGATGATGTCCCTGCACAGCATCCAGCAGCGAGCAACCAAACAAAGCAGTTATGCTAGAGACAGTAGGATGATGACAGAGCCAGAGAGATGGAGAGTCACATGAGAGGGAGTTTGAGGAAGGCACTGTAGTGCTTGGTTGGTGTTTGGGATCAGTTAGACTCGTCAGTCCTTAATCCAGTAACTCTATGTGACACAGACATGTGCTGAGCTCAGACAAATGCAAACACACACACACACACACATAGACAGCAGCGTTCACGATTCACCATGCCTGAGGTATTCTCAGCACACGTTACTTATCTTGCTTAATAACCGTCGGATTAATTGTACTATATAGCTAGCTTATGGAGGTGTGTTTTGGCTGATTCACAACAATCCAGCTGCATTTAGATTGTCAAGTCTCATTATATTATCATAAAAGTCCAAGGCTTGTGCCAGGAAAAACAAGTAATACAAGATGTATTTGAGATCATCAGTCATCAATTAAAAAGTTTATTAATTGCCAAAGGGTATGTTGAAAAGAAAAACAGCATGTGAGATTCAGTATGATACACATCTTAAGATTTAAATTATTGTTGTATTTCTGCTTTTTGACACAATAATAATGAACCAGGTTACAAAAAGAAGTATTTATGAATATCTACTATAATAATAATAATAAATTATTATTGTTGTTATTATTATTATTATAACAAAAATGTTACAATACTGTTTAATAGTTATATTTACAAAAATAATTTGTCGCAATTTCTTTTGGGCTGTTAAGCTTAAATTATTACGAATTTATCTGATAATTAATTGCTGTTAGATAATTCAATGTATTAGAGCAATATCAAGAGTTTTTTTTATTGAACAGAATAACAATACAATCAATACAGTTACAACAGCAACAAATACAAACATTTTCAAATGCTAGGGGGAGATATAAACAATATTATAGGAATACATTAAAGAGTGTACAAGCTTGCAAAATTCGAATAGCTTTTTGTTTCTTCGAGGGCAATATAGACTCAATATAATGCTTCACATTTTAAATGCTATAAAACATAGATTTTTTTCCTGAAAATGAACATTTATGAATATGAAATTTAGCCACTAAAATAAAAAATAATAATTTAAAAAGTGTGGGACTTTGTATCTTTGGAGTTTACAATAATGCCTAAAAGCATATCTTAGCAAGGGTATGTTATGGCCACAAATTCAAGATCTGACATTGCAAAATCAAAACACCCATCCAAGCTTCCATTACTATTTCAAAAACATCACGTTAGAACTAGCAATGACAGCTTTCACACGATGTTTTTCCATTTATGCAAACATGTGCTGGCATTCTAAAAATGCAGCGCTCAAGTTAAAAAAAGTTTAAGTTAAGTTTAACTTTGAAAAATATATACATTTCTAGAACTTTTTATTATTATTATTCTATTACTGTGTCTTTTGTTTTTAAACTGTTAATGGCATCTACAAGTCAAAACATCAAACAGTAAACAGTTCAATAAATAAGTTATTATTGCATAACTTACATTTTAGACACATAATTGCCAGTTTGTCTGTTTATATTTTTCCAACCAAAAAGGTTCCATGCAAAGCCACAGCAGATCCGTTTCAATACACAGTAGTGTATTTTTCTTGAATGATTTGGTGTTTTTCAACAAATCAGTTGAGTTAATGATTCAAAGACTCATTCATAAAGAATCTGTGTCATTTGAACACCACCTACAGTCCCTTGTCACCACATACTGGTGAATGTAACCTGCAGAAAGAGGCTGTATATACTGTGTGTGTGCTTGAATACATGGACAAATGTGTATAATAATGACATGTTTATTACAACGTAAACATGGTTTATGACACTTTCTGTGTCCTCGTGAACTAAACGTTTTAAAAAACACACTAAACAGTGTTTGAAATTAATATAATATAATACATACTAAACAGTTTGAAATTTTAAAAATGCCAGTAGTATTTTGTGAGGGGTGGGGTTAGGGGATAGAAAATACAGTTTGTAAAGTATAAAAATCATTACATATATGAAGAGTCAGTGTGTGTGTGTGTGTGTGTGTGTGTGTGTGTGTGTGTGTGTGTGATTTGTCAAATCAATCGTAATCAAATGCAACAAAAAAAAAAAAGCAAAATGCAAAAAGTGTGTAAATGTCCAGCACAAAAAAGATTGGTATGGCTATTTTAAAGACTCTGTTTGCTATAAGACATACTACTACAAGACACATCCCATTACATGTCTTTCTGCTCTGTTACATCACAAGGATTCTGAGTGGAGCAAGTTCATGGACTTACAGCTACAACCATGATGGGATTCCAGCATTTCTAGCCCCCATCCTGAGCAATGATCAGGTAATGTAATGTCACAGTTATATTTAACATATAATGACAGACATAGTAATAGACTAAAGACAAGTGGTAAACAGTACAACAACAAGATGTTTAAGATGCTAACCAGGAACAGAATGAACATAATAAATAAATGGCAGTGGATGACAGAAATGTCATAGCTTTTGACCTTAGTTATACTCACACAACACACAGGTCACACAAGCTAGACCCTCAGACACACACACACACACACACAACAGACACAAAGACTAACTCATAACCTCATTGCAGGCCAGGAAGGAAGCATTTCCAAGACACAATTTAAGGACCTTTTCCCATTATGTTCATTATCCTTCACTGGTAATTGTCACTCAACTTTAATAATAATAATAATAATAATAATAATAATAATCTGTAACACTTTATTTGAAGCCTGTAGGCTACATATAATACATCACAGAGGTATTCATAACGATACCTGCAAATATCTGCAGACATTTTAATATCTATTCTTGGTTACACCTTTAAAGGGTATAATGATATAACAGAGCTGGATGCTGATTATATCCTATAATACTGTGTAAAGGTATAACAATTAATAGTGAAATATTAAAATATACAGTACTATATCTGTAGTTACATTTATTCTTAAAAATAGCCTTTAAATAGCCTGATTAAGATATAAAGCATTACGGCATTATACATGCAGAATACATTTATATGCATTATATATAAAACTTCAAGTATGTGTTACATTAATCACTTAAAACAGTCATCATACTTATCAAGTTCTGGCGAGAAAATGCAGACGACCACAATATGAAAATAATGTTCCGCATAGACGAATGATTCTGCTAAATCAACAAATGTCTAAGTCATTTGAATTTGCAGCAGCGTACATTTATAGATAGTGCTATAAGAAACATAATGAAGTGAGTTATTGAGTTTGAGGTGTACAGGTGCGTTTGCTGCGCTGAAAAATAGGTGCAAGTAAGCAGATAGTGAGCAGGACAGTGAAGCAGATATAGCATTTCACTCATTTTACACACTAAAGACAATAAAAGTACATTTGGTCTGCAAGCAAAATCCAGCGTTTACACGAGAAAGACACTAAAATGCCTGCCAAAGCAACTTTATGAAATGAATTTAAAAGTTGATCGTTTTGTCGTTAAGTTTCACAACGAAATGAAAATCTGTCTGTTGTTATTCTTAAAACTCGTGATAAATGTTACGGCAGAAATGAATGACTGTACTTACTCGATCTGTAGGTGGATCAGCTGTGCGCTCGGATCAGCTCTGACAGGTTCACACACACACACACACACACACCACCCCAATGGCCAATGAGAGAGTGTGAAAAGCCCTTTTAGGGTGTGTGTGTGTGTGTGTGTAAGAGAGAGAGAGAGAGAGATAAAAATAGACCTACCCCCATGATTAGGGCAACAGTGAAGGGGCAACAGCTCAGTTTATTAAACAGCTAACAGTTACTTATGGTCGCCCTGAGTGATTTTTTTTTTTTTGCTAATTAAAAAGTTTTACACATGAACATACGAATAGAACAATGAGGACTTATCATTGTTGCGTTCTACATGGAGCGTGTCGCCCCTCATGGTCGCATTATGTTGACATCACATGAAAACAACAAAGTAGTTTCTTAGTAAACAAACTAACAAAAATCCAGGCGACATGTCAGTAAATGCAAAGCCACTGTTACTATTGGGATGAACGACGGCCAGCTAAACATAAACATAAATATTTGATCGGACTTTTAATTTAAAACAAATTTTAAAATTCAGTGTAAATAATTAAGGACTCGTTGAACCCTCTGCATTAGATTTCTTGGGAATGGCAGATGTCCCTCCATGTGCCTGAACCAATTTATGATCATGTGCTAATGTATAAAAAAAATCATGACTGCCTCCCAGTGGCCACCTTCCTTAACTGTCATCAGCAAGATACTGTGGTCATCTTCTTTACTAATTGCGTTAGATTAATTGAACGGAAATTCTTAACTGGGGATCAAGAAGAAAGGTGGTAAACAATGTTGAAATTGCAGTTTTATTACTGAAGTGCCAGTATGAAGAAAATAGTTAAATGTGCATTCAATTACAAATGTAATTTACTGTATTCATTTGAAAGGTCATAATGTCATAACTATGCTTAAATATCAATCTCACCCCATTTAATAACAAACAGGCACTGTTGGCTCTAGTTTGTGTTTACCGCAAATTCATCAGGAACAGAAAACATAAAAACTTCAAACAATTTGCTCAGAACTTAAAACACTGCATGTGATTAAAAATAAGCAAACACTTCCAATTGATGCCAAAACAAACACAAAACATCACTAAAAGTCAACTTTCAAAAGCAACTCTAAGGTAGCACACTGAAACTAACTGGAAACATTAAACTTACCTGTTAGACAACCAATTGTGCTGCAACATACACAAAAATGTCATTATTAGAGAGTTGTCGCACATGAAAAAGACAAATTCTCATTCTTCACCATTGTAAACACATGAACAAGGTGATGGTATATAAAGGAGCGAGAGCTCCAAAAACAGCTGGATATTTTAAGGGCATTTGTTTCTTTTTAGCAGTACCAGTAAAATGCTCAATTTTCACCAAAAATGTTTGCACCTCATTTTCATTAGAAAAAAAAATCGTGATCTACAGGTTAAGGTGTTGCACTTTACTCCATTATAAAAAAAAATTTAAAAATCAATCTAACAGAATAATTGTCGGTGCACCCCTGATTGAGTGGGAGGAGCTTCTCTAATCATGTGACCCGCCCTCTTCACTCATCTGTCATTCATCTTCACCGTTGCAGTCTGCCAGGAAAGGGTGGGCCAAAGCTCTACAGGCAGAGATGCGATGAGCTGGATTGAAAGCCAAAAATTGCTGCGAGGAAAGAAAAGTTATTTATATGTGTATTTTGAATACCAGTCACTAAAATCTCTATCCTAATAGCAATAAATGAGTAACACTAACAGACAGCAGGTCATTCTCCTCATGGGCGAGACTGGGCAGTAGTTGTTTTGTAGGCTTTTTCTCAGCCCAGGCAGGGCTGTAGCAGACAGGGCTTTCTATGGGCCAGTCATCCTCACCCGGCAATCCAATGACCCTGAGAGAGAGCGAACATGCAAGACCACAAAAGCTGTACTTCTTGGTTACAATAAATTTTAACTGGGATTTGGAAATGCATAAGTATTTTGACTCACTCAAAGATCTTTTGCAGCTGCTGGATCTCTGTGAATCCACGAAACAAAGGCCTGCAGAAAAGGTGAGAGAGAAAGATGAATGAAAGAATGAATGATGTTGAAAATAGATGTGCTGCTTAATATTTTTGTGGAAACTGTCATAAGTTTTCCAGGATTCTTTGAAGAATAGAAGTTCAAAAGAACAGCATTTATTTGAAATAGAAATCTGTTGTAACAGTATATAAATGTCTTTACTGTCACCACTAATAATAATGTCCTTGAAAAAAAAATGTATAAAATGTCTCTCTGAACTCTGTTATGCTCTCACCTTAACAGAAAGAGCTCTGCAAAGATGCACCCAGCACTCCACATATCCACAGAAGACATGTAACTGGACTGCAGCAGGACCTCAGGAGCCCTGTACCACAGAGTCACAACCTACACACACACAAATACAAATACATCACATGTAGGAGCTCACTACCACCACACATATTTCTGTGAATGTGAATCTGAGCTCCATACACATGGGGTGAGGGCGATATGGTATGTATATATCCTGGCTAAACCAAAGTCTGCAATCTTGACCTCCCCTCGACTGCTCACAAGCACATTGTCTGGCTTTAGATCCCGGTGAATGACGGTGTTAGTGTGGAGGAAGTCAAGTCCGCTGAGCAGCTGACGCATCACATCCTATATAAAGAGAGAGGAAAAAACACAAATCTATGCTCTAGTCTTTAATTTATCCATACAGTGTGACAATATGCTACCGCATTGGGGCATGTTGTCACCAAAGGTGTATGTACATTCAAAGAATTGTATCTTCTTTCCTGGGCTATAATGGTGGCAGTGTACAATGACTTTTTTTTGTAGCAAAGACTTTCAGGTATGTCTATACAGAAATTGCTTTTCAAAAAGAAACCTTTACAAGAGTAAAACTGTGAAAATTAACCCTGGTTTTCCCTATTACTAATTTATTCAATTGAATATGAAAGATTAAGTCACTGCCAAATAAGAGGAGCAAGGTTAATACCTTGATTTTGTCCCTGGCCAGGCCTTTTTCTGATGCTCTGCTGAGAAATGCAGTCAGATCCTGATCAATATACTCAAACGCCAAGGTCAGGTCAAACTTCTGGTTTTGCCATCCAGCTGATACATTCAGCAACCTAAGGAGAAATGCCATATTACTCCAACCGATAAAATTCATTATGCTTGTATGTGGCATTTTTGACCGTTTCCACACTCACTTGACTATGTTCGGGTGGTTGAAATGCTCTATTTTTCGCAGAAGAGCCACTTCTCTTATCACGAACTGAGGGATGCCAGACTCCGGCTCCTCGGGGATGTTCAGCCTCTTCACCGCTATGAAGCGCTGCTGTCCGCGCCTCTCTCTGGCTTTGTACACTTTCCCGTAGGCGCCCTGGCCGATTTCTGCCCAGATTTCATAATCTGAGCTCTCCCAACAGCTGTCATCCATGTTTAGATCAGATCAATATGTCAGACCGTGTTACTGAAAGAGACAACAGTCAATGGGTGCTGAATAAAAAGATTAAGAAAATCGGACAGAGCTTTGTAAAACGCTTTCAACTCCCCGTCGTTTTCCCTATACATATATAGCTGCACTGTATGGTTTAAATTAACTGTAAAATAAAATAAAAAAATTAATATAATTACACAAATATAACAAATATTTATGAATGTATGTGTGTTGTTTTGTTTAAAAAATAAAGGAGGACATCCTGTTGACATTAAATTTGTTTGTAAATTTAAAAAAAAAAAAAAGTTTGGTTTACTGGGATTAAAATGAATTTAATCTGATTTGGTTAATTCATTGGAACCTATTGACTTTTCCACTTAGCGTCAAGAAACTCACATTAAGATGTCATCACCGGTGACTAGATTTATCCATAACACATGGATCTCGCGATAAAATTGTGTTTATTAACAATTTATCTAAATTAATACCGCGGTAAGCGTGCACGTTGCGTAATTTGTTCATATGGCTAAGATATACGCTCTTTCGAAGATATAAAACTGTAAGTAACTTAACTTACCTTTTCTGTCACTGTCATCCAAAACCTTGAGCAGTAAAATGATTGTCTACTAATTTAGATCAATGACACGGATCAATACGCGTTGTTTGCCATGATTTTAATAAAAACTCACAACATGCAGGGGTGTGAAATTTGTATCTGCAAAACCAACCAATGAACAGCTGAGGATTTTTTTCTGGATATCCCCCATCTCATGTGAACTATTCAAGAAAATATATTCTCATGTGAAACGACATGTACATCTATGCACAGCAAAAAGAAATCATATATTGTATAAAATAATTTTTAAAACCCTGCATATATTACTACCAGTACCATGCATTGACCTTAGACATATATAAAAATGCAATATATATATAAATATATATTTAATTCAGGCTTAAGATAATATTTTTTTCAGCCGGGTAGAAAACAAATAAAGAAAATAGACATTTATTAAATATACTATCTGCCATTTTGAGACTTAACTTTCAGCCACACTGCCCCCTTGATTTAAAACTAGATACATTCCACACAGTGATTTGTTGCTGAAATTAACATATTTATTCAGTATGCACAAGCATCCATTGTATATTAATAAGCACATTTATAGGTATATGTATACCGGTCTGAAATTTCACTGCAACTTAAAAAGGCAGCAAAAAACACAAATGTGCACATGACATCATCAGACAGCATCTCAAATATATTATTTGAGAACGATTCATTTAAACCCTTCATACAGACCAACAGGCCTATATCCACAATAATTAATCAAATCTAAGTGCAACTAAGTTTTTAGTTCATAGTTTCAAAACACTCACAATACATAGTGCCAAGCATGTCTTCTGCTTTTCACACAAACCATTCAAAAAGGTTAATGGGAAAACTCTGCATTACAGGTTACAATAAAACAATTTAAATTAATCAACTGAATCGGATTTATTTCCTTTTATGTCCATTAAAAACTAGATTTGGAATTACTGTATAGTTGAGTTTTAAACCAGTAAGGCACTTGGTAAACACTTTGCCAATAAAATAATTTTAAAATGATTAGGTACAAATACAGT